AATTATTATAAATTTTATGTTTCTAATGATTCTATTATCAATTGTGTTGATTTTTAGTTATAAATATTTAATTTTTTAAGGAGTTATAATAGTTAAAAAGAAGATGTAAATTATTTTTCAGAAATTTTAATAGAAATCTTGTTCAACATATTATCGTTTATTAAAAAATCTTATATTAAAAATAATTTAATAAAAATATATATTTTTTTACATGGAAGGCTTAATATAAATTAGAAATTTTTTTCTATATTTAAGTTTTATATACGATTATTAACTAATTCTACGAAGTTATTAAAATAATTTTATCTTTCGTTTCCTAAAATATTGAATAATAACTTTTAATATTTAATAATTTTTAATCAATTTATTTATATATTTTATATACTTCTAATTATTCACTATTTAATTAATCAAAAACGTAACAAGCCAATATGTTTAAAGGCGCAAATTTAGTTGGATTTTTTATTTCATACTAAGGATTTAAATTTATTTTCCTTTGTTTTAATTAAATATAATAAATAAATATTTAAATTTAATATAACCTTTTGTATTATTAAGTAAATGCTTCTATTAAATTAATTATAACATTATTATTTTTATAAATTTAATAATTCAATAATATTTCTGATTATTCTAAATAATAAATAAATGAACTTGTAATATTTTCTACAACGCATTCATATATTTCGAAACAATCTAGATTTAATTAATTTAAAATTATTAAATTATTTACTAAAATTTCTCCATTCCAAATTTTACAATTCTATACTAAACATTTTAAAATAATTTCTTTGATTTATTAATCAAACTCTAAATTAAGACTAAGCATTATTTAAGGTAAAAATTTAAATTATTCAGAATTACTTTTCAATATATTTTAATTAAAATATTAAATAATACCTTCATCAATTTATTAAGAACTTTAATAATCCTAAGCATTTAAAGAATAATAATTTCTAATTATTTTATTAAAAAAGGAATTCAAATTATTCTTGAACACTTTATTATCTTAAATATTTTATATGATACCAGATAAATAATAAACTAACTCAATAATTTCTTAAAAACTAAGTTTATCTTAAGAATTAAAAATATATTATTAAACTAGAATAATAGTTTTTACAGTTATTCTTTCATCAAGTAAATGCTCCTGATTAGTATTTATAAATCTGCAAAGAAGTAAAATATTGCTCAATTGAAATTTTTACTATTACTATTCTAAGGAAATATTTAATTAGTTTACTAAATTTTTTGTCAGTTATTGCCTATCATTTACATCTGAAATAACTTGATTAAATAATCCTTTTACAGTTCCTAATTACATTGTAATTAAAAAGTAACTTAAAAGCTTACTTTCAATAAATTTTCTAATAAAAATATTTATTAATTATTTAAATTCATTACTGTATGAAGGGTTTATTTCTAAATAATTAAACTCAGTAATTCTGTTTAAACTTTCATAACGAGGCTCAAATTTTTCAATAATTCTTTGAATAAAACTAGCAAGTTAAGGTCTATTTTATGCAGAAGCTTTAATAAAAGCATGGGCTTTAATAATTTTAGGGAAAAATAAGTCAAATTTAACCATATAAGGCATATAAACTTAAGCAATATAAATCAAATCAATAACATATTCTTTAAGAATTTAATCATTACAACTATTATTAATTAAATTAATTATTTGATTAGTTTATTTTTCTAAATGTTAATATTTATGATAAGTCATTTTAGATTATAAAATAAATAATTAAATTTCAGCAATCATTATAATCTATTTAAAATCATTTAAAGAATTCATATTTTCAGTATAATTAATAACTTAATACATTAAATTAAAATAAAAACGGTCTAAATCTTTACAACTTTCCTTAAATGATTAAATTATTATATATATTTCTCTTATAGATAAACCATTTTATAATTTTGGATTTTTTCTTATTTAATTTGCTAATTCTTCGCTTAAAGGAATATTATTTAGCATTAAAAATTACATTATTTTTATAACTGCACTTTTATCATATTGGTTTAATCCTTTTTATATTAATGATTATAAAATTACTTCTATTATTTCATTATCTGTTGGTTAACAAAAACTTAATCCCATTAAAATTCTAAGGTCTATTCCTGGATAATCACAAGAACTTAATGGGTTATTTACTTTAAGATGTTCTTTAAAAGAAAATACAAATTTTTAGCATATTTATTATAGTATTTTAATAGTCTTTTGATTATATTAATGATTAATTAATTTAAAATATCCTAATATACTTCCTATTTGTAAAGGAGATACAATTATAATGTCTTGTTCAACTATATTAAGCAAATTTTGAGCTATTTTTTCATATAAAATGGTTTCTTCTTAAAAAGTAAATTTCGTATTATTTTTTATTAAATATAAAGATTGCATTAAGAGATTAATATTTTCAATATCATAATCTATTATTTTTAAACCAAAAAAAAGTTAAAATTATTTTTATATAAAATATAATTACATTCATGTACAGATACAATCAATTTAAATATAGTTATTAAAGCTTGCTAAGATGAAAACTTAAGAAAAGAAGCATAATTTTAAATCGAAGATTAATTTGATAATACTTAAGTGATTTCTAAAATTGATTAAAAAGACATATTTTAAAATACTTAATTTATAAAAAGCTTAAGTTTATCTTCAAAAATATTTTATTATTTTCTAATTATTATATTTTCAAAGTCTTATAATTGCTCGCTTTATTAAATATATTGTATTTATTTACTCTATTGAATATTGTTTTAATCATTTTATTTCTATTAAATATCTAATTTAAGAAGCCTAAAAAGAATATTTTTTCGAGAAAAATTTTCTAATGCTTATAATTATTAATTTTTGCATTCTTCAATTAATTCTAAATATTTCAATTATTTTAATTTTTAAGCATATTCTATTTAATTATTTTATAAAGATTATAAATTTAAATAAGCTTCATCTAAATTATTTATTGCAAATGCTTTTCTACAAATATTTTTATATAGGCTTGCTGATTTTTATGTTGAAATAAATTTGTTTATCATACTTTAAAATTAAAATTAAGTAAAATTAAAATAAAATAATATTTATACTAAAGATAAAAATATATTTTTATATTAGTATAGGTTAAAAATACAATGTCATTATTATTTGAAATATAGATATTTTTATAAATTAATTTTAATTTAATTTTTGTATAATAAACAAAATCCAAAATAAAAAATTATTTATTTGGGTATCATTAGTTTTTATTTTTAATTTATATATTAAATAAAATTTTGTTATTAAATAGGAATTATGATTTTATGTAATGATAAATTTTTATTTATATTTAATTTTATTTTATTTAATTATATAATCATTTTTTATTTATTTTATGATTTTTAATTTAAAATATTCATAAAAAATTATTTTTTAAGCATTTTTATTATATATTGTTTAAAATAAAATATATTCTATATTTAAAATAAAAATGTCAGATTTTATATATAATTCGTAAAATAAATAATATTTAGAAGTATTAAAGTGTTTATTATTTTAAATAAAAAGCAAACATAATGAAATTAATTAAATCTACGAAAATGATATTGATTAAATTTTGAATGGCAAACAACATGAAATAAAATATTGGAAGAAAAAACAATAATAATAATAAAATTAAGTATAATGTTTTATTTTTTAAATTATTTAACTTAAGTTTACGTCGTATATTTTAAATTTTTCATCATGTCATAATAAACTAATTTTATATGCATAATATACTAATTTTAATTATTTTATATGCATAATAAACTAATTTTATTTCATCTAATCCTTTTAAATTCAAGTTTATTTAAAAAATTTTGATTTATTAATTTTTTTTAATATGACATTTAATTTGCAAAAAAAAGTTTTATCAATAAAAACTAAATAAATTAACTGAAAAAAAATAATTAATTATTTTTAAAAAGAGATGTGATTTCATTTTAAAAATTTAACTTTTTTTTTTTTCCTTTAATATTTTTATATTTATTAAATTTATAATTATTATAGTTAATTCTAAATAATAGAAAAATATAGTTTTTAAGTGAAGAATATGATAAATTACGATAATAATACTTAAACTTGGAGGAATATTTTGAAAGTAAGAATTTATAGCATGATAAAGAAGTTTACATATTTTATTTATTTTAAAAAATAATAAAATATTAAAATTTAATAAAAAATAGATTTAAATTAAAGATAATTAAATAAAATTGATTTAATTTTAAATAAATAATCTTAAGTAAACTATATATATATATAGTATAAATAAACTTTATTATCATAATTAAACTTAATAGATATTAATTAAGTGAAATTAATACATATGAATCTGTACAAAAGAGTAAAAAAACAGTAAATTCTCAATATAATGATGATGATGAATATTCATTAGAACAAAACATGGAAACTATATCGAAATTAAATACTGAAAACAATATTTATTCATATTAATTACAGTAAAATAATATATTTGAGTATTTTTAAATCATAATTTAAATTTTAATAAAGAGAAAAAGATTTAAAACTTTTGGAGTTGAAAAAATAACTATAGTAATTTATTATTTTATATATATTTTTTTATATTTATATACATAAAGGAATTATGAAAATTATATGTTGCCATAGCCATAAAAAATAAACGGTATTTTCTGTTGAAAAAAAAAGAAAAAAAAAGAGGAGTAGTAGAAAAATTTAATTTTAAAAAACACATTCAAAAAAAATAAAATATATATATTTTATAAAATTCGAATTATTAATTATATTTAAAACAAATTAATATCAAGAATAAGGATTCATAGATTATAAAGCTTTAAGATATTGTTTAGGATTCATAATTTAAGTCGAGCCAATAATAATAGGAAAAGAATAATTATTTTTTTATTAAACATCTCTAATTTACCTTATTTCTGCATAAGTAACTCCTCCAAGATAAAATACAATTACTTTTTACATTTTTTTAAATTAGTCCTCATCTTCTTATTATACGCCTTTATTTTATAAAAGATTTGCTAGTTCCATATTTTTATTTTACAATATATTATTATTCTTTTTATCTTCTTTTTTTTCATTCTTACTATTTTAATTACCTACATAAAGCGAATCAAAGCCAATATCTTAAATATTTTAATTATTTTAATTAATAATTTCAAAAATAAGCTACTCAAAAAGAATTGCACTAATAGGAGTATGTTTACATAAGTCAAATTTAGAAGCTTCTAGTTTTTTTTTGGCTTACTTTAAAATTTTTTCATCTAATTTTCTAATCTCGCTCACATTTTTATTTTTTTTGCTATCTGTAAATGTGATTCCAAACCAAGAAAGATTAAGTAAGGCCTTACCTTCTTAATCAGTAAAACAAGAGATAATAGTTTTTCTATCTGCCTCACACAAATCAATAGCTATATAAGCAGAAAGGGCAACTCGAAGTTTATCTATACCTGATATTTCCCTTTTTTCTAGAATTTCTTTGAGTTATTTAACAATCTTTTACGATTGAAGTTTCTTTCCAGAATCATCTATTCCTGTGGCTAATTAAAGTTAATATTCTCCAATTTATTTAAGCCCTTTTTCCTCAAAAATCTTCCAAGCCTATTCTATTAAATACATATGCATTGAATATTTACCCAATAGTTCATTATATTAAGGCATGTCTTTGATTATTTATTACATTTTATCTAAATCGAGGTCTTCCGCATTACATTTTCCCATTTATGCTGTTGAATTTGTATTAACTAGATTTTAGAAATCATTAGGAATGCCTTCCAATGATTCAGCTATATGCTTATATCTATATTTAATAAATACTTCATCTCCTTCATCTGATATTTGTGCTTTTTTTGTTTCTTATTGATCGTTTTTCTTGTTTATTTTATATTCAACTATATTTGTATCATTATCAATGTCCAACAAATCATAAATAATACTTTAATAATAAAAATCGTAAAGAAGAGGAGTTATAGGATCAGCTTTTCTATCAAAAATAATTAAATGAACGTTTCCTGATTCTTAATCTATAATTTTATTTTTTGAATCTTGCATTAAATAATAATAATCTTTAAATTTTAATTTGAAAGAATTCGCAAATTATTCAGAAAGAGTTCCTTTTTAAAAATAAATATTACAATTCTTAAATCGAAGTAATCCAGGAAAAATAGTAGTGAGTTTTTCGCTTGATTTTTCAATAAGAATGTCCATTTCTAGGCTATTTTATTTCGAATATAATACCTATAGAGAATTCTCTATATCTAAATGGAAAGCATTTTATTCTATAAATAAAAAATCATGGTTTAATTCTTTTATTGTTTTTATTTTTTTCACTAAAATTTCATGTTTTGCTATTGATTCTAGTAATTCTTTACTTAAACGAGATGTTAAATATATATGTGCCTTACCATACTATGGTTTGTCCTTTTTTCGTATAAAGTCTTATATAAGTTGCTCTATGCTTGCTTTTGTTGGCGATAATATATATATGGCTTGCAATTTAGAATATCGTTTGCGTTTTAGATGAAGCTTTTCTATTTAGCTCACTCCAAATTTTATCAAATGAGACATTTTTAAACATGAAGATACTAGCTTTATTGCATATTCGTCTAAAACTAGTATAAATTGCCCTTCATACTATGTTCGTTTTTTTAATTCTGTGAAAAGTTCTTAAAATCGTAAATGAACATTTTCTTTTAATGAAAAGTTTCCTTTTTAAAGGGATTCCATTTATATATTTATTATATTTTTTAATTTTTATTTAAATAATGCTTTTTATATAAATAAATTAATTTATTTTTTATTCAATAATAATATTTAATCCATAACTTTTATTTATTTTTTATAAAAATCTCAATTTTAATTATTTTTGATTTAATATTTATCAAATTTTCATTCAATAAACTAATTAAATATATCAATTACTCATATTCGATATATTTAAAAAAAATTTAATAATTTATTATAATTAAATTAATTAATATATTTATAAAAATAATAATAAGCTATTTGTAAATTAGTAATATTTTGAATAAATAAATTTAAAGTATATAATAATAAGTTATCAAGAAAAAAAACCCATAGTGAAAAAAATTACAAATTATTATTTGATAGTTCTATATATTAAATAAATATAAATTATTTATATTTTAAAGATACTTACAAAAAATTTAGAAAATTATATACTTCAAAATAAATGCATATTTTAATCTTATATGCCTTATATAAATACTTTTTTATATTAATAAAGTTTATAAAATATATATTATTAATATTAATGTTATAATATTAATAAAGTTAAAATATAATTATACTAGATTAAATTATAAAAAGTATAAAAAAATAAAAGATTCTTATAATTTATTGAACAAAAATTTTTAATAAAAATAAAAAAAAAAAAATTTAAAAAAAAAAAAAAAGAAGAATAAAAATAAAAAGAAAAAATGGAAAATTAACACGAAAGAGCATTTTAAAAATAAGACGGAATATTTTTGAATTCAAAAAAAGTTTTATAAAAAAAAACTTCAACTGGCGTCAGATACTATAAAAATATTGGCTTAGGATTCAAAACCCCAAAAGAAGCAATTGATGGTCATTATATAGACAAAAAATGCCCTTTCACATCTAACCTTTCAATTAGAGGAAAACTTATTAAGTATATAAATATTTAAAATTGATAATATATAATATTTTTTTAGGGGTTTAGTTATTTCAACTAAAATGAACAGAACTGTTATTATCAGAAGAGATTATTTACATTATGTAAGAAAATACAATAGATATGAAAAGAGACACAGAAATATTGCTGTCCATGTTTCACCATGCTTTTAAGTTAAAGAAGGTGATATTCTTGTTGCTGGATAATGCAGGTTTTTAATTATATTTTTAAAAAAATTAAAAATATTTTTAATTTTATTTTCTTTTAAAGACCTATCTCTAAAACTGTCAGATTCAATACACTTTAAGTTTACCCAAATGAAATTGTAGGTTCAGTAAGAAAATAATTCTTACTCTTCTGAAATAATATTATTAATTGAAATATATAAATACTATTAAAAACATAGTTAATATATTTTTAAACAATTAAATTTATTTAAACATTTTAAATTATAATAATATTATTTTATTTAATATATAAAAATAAAAAAATATTATATAAATCCTTATTAACATCAGAACATTTCAATTTAAAAAGTAATTGCTTTATAATTAAAAGAATTATGTTTTTCCTTAACTGATATCAAATTAAAATTTGCATAAATAGAAAAAAAAAAACTAGTTTAAAACTTTACAAAATTAACATTTTTAAATAATTAATTTACATAATAATTTATACTATTTATTATTTGAAACATAAAAAATATTTAAATAAAATTTTCGGAATATTTATATATATATTTTTTTTTCTTTATATATTTATTCATTCTTTTTTTTCTTTACTTAAAATTATGTTGGACTAATTTATTTTAAATATAATCGAAAATATATTTAATTACTTAAAAGAATAAATAAACAATATAAAGCCAAGCTAAGGCTGCTATAAGTATATATAAATTAATAAATGAATCATAATCTTTTACAATCATAGCTTTAGTGGCTGTTTCTTAAATATAGAAAGAAGCTTATCTATATTAATATTAAAAAACTTTTGTATCAGTAATTGCTTTTTTCAAATGCTATTTAAATAATGAAATTAATTAAATAATATTAATTATAAAATATAAAAGTAATATGTATTAAATTAATTATAAAAAATACATAAATATGAAAATAAAAAATAAAAATTTTATTTATAACAAATTACTTTAAGAACTTATTAATAAAATAATTTGCTTTTATTTAATTTAGTCACATGTCTTTAATTTTAATTCAATAAGTCGGTTGTTGTCTAAATATAATTTTAAGTATAAGTCTAATTTAGTTTTTTAAATCCTTTTTCGAAAGGCTTTTTTTAATTTTAGTTTAAATAAAAGAAACAAAAAAAAATACAATATTTTTTTGTTACTTCTTAATTTAAAAAAATTTAATTATAAAAATATTCTTCAATAAAGCTAACTAAGTTTTCAAAATTATTTCTATTAAAATTTGATTTTGGAATAAATTAATACTTATTTAATTTAGATCTTGATGTAATTTTTATAACATTAACTTTTTTAGAGCCTTTTATTATATGATTTTATTTAATATTAATATCCTATTTATAAATATTATACTATTAAACAATGGCTTTTAATTAATTTCAATATTACATTAAATATTTTTCTATTCAGCTTATTATTTAAAGTTCTAATAATAGATAAATTAAATATAAGTTTTAATAAATATAAGAAATAATAATACCTTTACATTCTAATCATCTGCACTTAATGATTAAAATAACTCTAAGTTTAATTATTAATTATCATCTATTTAATCAAGTAAAAAAATATAGTTAAATCTATTCTGATTGTCTTTGGAATTTACCCAACTTTATAATCCAGTAAAATTTAAATTACTAGTACTCGTTAGATAAAATAGTACATTATATCTATTTATTGCTTTAAAAAATATTTTTATATATTTTTTATAACTATAAGTCTCCAAGTTAATTTTTTAATGCTTGCTTAAGTTAATATGCTAATTTGTAAAATGCATATGCTCCAGTATTTTATGTAGAAAATTCAGGCTTTAAATCCTTAATTAATAAAATAAATGTCAATTTCATTAAATGAAAATTTATTATATTTACGGCTGATGGTGTGAAATAATCTAAGCATCCTACAATTAAAATATTTTACAAACTTAAATGATGTAATTAAGAAGATAAAAATCCATAAAAATCTTATAATTCTAATTAATTATGGATTTTCGGATCTTAACTATTTACAATCATTCTGTATTCTTATTCTTTTTATTTATTATGTGCACTAATTTTAAATTTTTATATATTTTTATATATATTTTTATTAGTACTTTTATTATGAAGAAATAGTTTTATTTGTCAAAATCAAATATTCATCTAGCTCTTAAGACTCAATTGCTATATATATCGGTATTTAAATGTCTTTTTAATCTTTTAAGAAAAAAAAATATTTTAATTAAACAAAAAATAATATTGAGTTTAAAATTGTTATAATTATTTAAAACTTGTTTATTAAAAAATTTAATCCCATATTTTATTTTATAGTTATTAATCATCGAATTATTTAGGGCATATAATTATAATAGCTCCAGGTCTATAGAATAAAATATTTTTAAGCAAATTATCCTTTTAAAAATCTGAAAATTAAACAAGTGTAGCTTTGCGGAATAATTGTTTTGTTTTATAATGTGTAAGTAAGAGATTAAATTTAGAAAATCCATATCCATATGTACTTTCTTAATTTTTCTATGTATTAAAAAGATATAAATCGATTTATATAAGGCATTTTATAGAAGACAATAATATAAATAATAAAATATAATATTTCATTTTTTTTTATTTAATTAAGATATGTATTTTTTAAAATATATAGTATTAATTTTATTTATTTTCATAAAAATTAAATAAAAAAATCAAATTTTTTAAAAATTGAATATACTTATTAATAATTCATTACTCAATTAAATGTTTAAAAGCAAACTATTATTTGATGATTATACTAAATAGTATTTTTAATATAATAAAAAATAAAAATAAAAATATTATTCAATATAAAGCTTATTACATTTATAATTATTACTTTTAGTGATTTGTGATAAAATATTAAAATAAAAAAATATAAATTATTAATTAATAATAAGTTTTAATATTTATAAAAATATTAATTTAATAATTTTAAAAATAAAAAATTTAAAATTATACAATTTTAATAAAACTATTATTAATTATTAAATTTAACTCAAAAATTAAATAAATAAAAGTTTTATAAATTTATATATTAATTTTTTCTTTAAATTAATGAATAGATTGATTAATTTATAATAATAAGAATTCAAAATATCATTTTAGATTTTATAATAAAATAAAATATTTTAATAATAATAAAAAATATATTTAAACAAATTATATTACTTAATAAAAAATATATTTTATTTATATTTCATTTTAATGCTTCTAATCTTTTTTCAAAATCTTCTTCTTCATTAGCTTGTCCAATAATTTAATTCTATAATTAAACAAAAAAAATATATAAAAAAATAGATAATATATTTTTTTTTGTTAAATTATTTATTTTACATAAAAAAACAATTAATTATATAATTTTTACATTTCCTCCTTGTCCTCCTCCTCCTACTTATTTTTCCATTTCGTCAATTAGTTTATCGCATTATTCATCACCCATTTCTTCTTCATCTTAATTCATTATATCAGACATTTGTTCTATATTTTTTAAAAAATATTAGAAATGTTTATAAAAGTTATTACCTTATAATACATTTTGTTTTTCACTTTCAACAGCAAATGTCTCTATTGCCATCTAAATATTTTTTATATCAATTGCACTATTTCCTGCTTTCATTATATCTCCCATTCCTTTCATTATAGTACATAATGTTTCTGATGTAGCAGCAGAATTTAACCTTTTTTTTTGATAAGAGTAAAATTATTAATAAAATCGATATAAACAATTATAATGTATATTTAAAATTATATATAATTACTGGAAAAGAACATCTGATAATTGTGCATCCAATCTTTTGTATTTATTTATCATAGCATTATTTTTTATTTGTTATTAAACTATAATTCTTATAGTTGACTATTATTTAAAATTTTATATTGATAAAAAAAATATATATATGTATCATTTTATTATAGATTTTTTATTTTATTATTTATTATACTCTAGGTTCTTTTTTTTTTATCATTGCTTTAATATCATTAGTTATTTTTTTTTGGTTAAACTCAAGCTTCATTAGTTCTCTTTAGAAATCTCTTTTTAATCTATTTATAGTTTTCGAAAATTCTTTGACCATTTCTATTATTTATGAATTAATTTATTTTAAAGTATTAATATGAATAATTTACCTTTTACAGTTTTCTTTGGTTATGGTGGTTCTGGTACAGGTTATTTTCCTCCCATTTTTCGATATGTTTTTTTTTATTTAGTTAAATAAAAATATATATATTATTAATTATTATATTTTATAAAATATATATGTTTATGATTCTATTCTATTTTTTGTCTGACCTAGTATAATGTAATTTAATATATAAAATATATTATTTATAAGATTATATTTAATTTAAATAAATTATTTTTTGTAGTCGTGAAAAAATCATAATTAAATTTTTCAATTTAAAATAAAATTAATAATTAATAAAAAAAAAAAAAACAAACTAGTAAAATATAATAATTGAATATTCATATTATAAATGATATTTTTATTTAATATATATTATTGATTTCATGAATGTTTATTATTTTAATATTAAAACTATGGATATTATTCTTTACCAAGTAGAGCAATTAATTTATTTCTTCTGTCTTTCTATTTAGATATATATATATATATATATATATATATATATATATATTTGTATTTATGTTAATGTATAATTTTTTTTAATTTACTCTATTTTATTAATGTTATATTCTTTTTTCAATTAATTATCTTAAATACATAGCTTTTTAAGGGTATTTTATTTGTCTTAAAATATCTTTCATATTTCTTAATCTTTAAGACATATTCATCATCTCATCAACAGAATCATTTTAAGACAATGCATATTTTCTTATATCCTTTTCTAATACATGCAAAGGTTTATTTTCATTAGCTAAACTATTTCCAAAAATATTAGAAACATGGAAACTTTCTAATGATTTTTTAACTGTATTTTAATTTAATAATGCAGGTTCAAGATGTGTATTATGATTAAAAAATCTTCTTTTATCTCCAATATCTAACTCTCCTCTATTTGGTTATATGACGTTATCCAAATGTGTTCTTAAATTATTATTTACATATTCATGCTTGATACTTTTATATAATTAGTTTTAATATAAAGTTGATTCTTGCATTTAATTATTATAATTATATATTCCATCACTTTTTTTAAGAATAGCTTCTTGTGTATTTTAGCTTTAATGCGTTTTAAAAATTTATTCTGAAGCATTTCTTAGTATATTATACTATTCTGCTTCTTAAGTTTATTGTTAGTTCAATTTTTCATATGATTATTTATAAAAAAATGGATCTATTGTATGATTATTTGGCTTATTTGTGTTAGCTACATAATCTTTTTTGATACTATAAAAATGTTTATCGTAACTATTATTTTTCTATTTAGTTATTTTTTTGTATAATATATATATTTTTATTTTTTACTATAACTTATTAATCAAGTGATTTTAGATTTATATGATTTCCTATAAACATATTTACACGAGGAGGTGGAGTTGCTTATGGATTTCTTGGTGAACCTACTTTTTTTACTATTTCTCCATATTAATTATATACATATTTTGGTATCTTTTTTTTGCTTTTTTGATATTTTTATTTATTTTTAAATTACTTATTGGAATTAATTCATCTTTTTTTAATAATGTGTTATTAATATTTTATTTTTTTAATTTTAAATAATATGATTATTATTTTTTTTAATTAATTTTTATTAATAACCATTTAATTTATAATATTTGATTTTATGAATACTTTATTAAACTAAAATTTAATTATAAATATTTTTATAAAAAAATGAATTTTGTTTATTAAAAAACAATATAAAATTTAATATATTTTATTATCATTTAAAATTGGTTCAAAACATTAAATATAAATTATATTTATTGTTTAAATAATAATTCGTAATAATGCAGAACTTAAATTATAATAAAAAGAAAGTTAATTTGCTCTATATATTCTCTATAATAATATTTTAACTACATTTGAATCTATAAATTAATCTCACTAAGTAGCATCCCATATTAATAATTAGTTTATAAAAATGATGGTTAACATCAAACTTTACTATCTTTTAATTACACTGATTTTTTATTAAATTGAAAACATTATTTTCTATTTATATAATTATATATGATTTTCATTTTGAAAGTAAGTATTCAAAACGTAACCGATAAAAATATTTTTATAATAATTAAAATATATTTCAGGTTTTTTAAATTTACATGATATATTAAATTTATTTCATTAATTAAAATATGTATATATATATATTAAAATAATAATAATAAATACTATAAATAAAATTTTATATTAAAAACATTTTTTTATTTTTATTATATTTATAAAAAAAATAACTAATATTATTTTAAATAAAAAATTCATAAAAAATGGGTAATCAATGCTCTTGTTGTAGTGATGATCATAATTAAAAACCAATAGAACATAAAATTTAGTAAATAATCCCACATATAAATTATGGACCTTTAATAAAAGATAATGAAGATAATAAAAACTAACCAAATACAGTAGTATTCGGAAATCCAGTAAACTTTTTTGATGAACCAGAAACTCCACCACATTTGTAGCAATAATAAAAAGTGGATGGTTCAGTATTTTTAAATTAATCAAAAATATCTTAGCTGAATCCACTTGATAAATCATTTAAAGCTTTATTAACTTCACCTGAAAGGACTAACAGAGTAAGAAACATATTGTAAGTCAACAATTAAGCTTACGTTACTGAACCTTTAGCAGCAAATTTAAACGATACAAGATGTATGGAAATAAATAAAGTCATTAAAACACCTATGATTGGCAATTAATTTACTTTTGCTTTAGAAAGAGGCTTTTTTAGAACAAATAATGATTAGAATTAAATACATAAATAATTTTGAGAAGAAAAAATATAATTTAAAAAATAAATAAAAAATTAAAAATTGTATTATTATTATTTTTTTTATTATTTTTTTCATATAAATTTATATAAATAAAAATATAAAAATTTATTATTAAATAATAATATAAAGAAAATTCAAGTGAAAATAAAATAAAACTAATGTATTAAAAAATTATATGGAATAACCATTGTAAGAAATATGATAAATCATGATCAGAATTAAAATATTTAGGTGTAAAACTTAAAGAAATAATCTAAAACTCATTAAAATGAGTAAATAATGAGCAAAAAATTGATAATTTTTTCATATTTACTTATATTTTTAAAGGTACATATATATATATATTTATACAGAGGTAATTAACCATATTAGGCGGCATTAAATATTTTTTTAAATATGAAAATATTAAATACTATTTAGAATAAGTTGAAGAAAACAAAAGCAGTCGAAAATCCAGGCCCAATGAAGACATTGCTAATCTTTAATGTTTTATAAAAATAATATTTACTTATATTGAGAATAACCAAATATGAATAATCCTTTAAATGAATGACTAGAATTTAATATAAATAAGTAAATCTGGATAAAAATTTGTTATTAATGGGAAAATCCTCCTCCAATATATTATCATTGGGGGGGGAATATACGTGAATACAAAAATTATTTATATATTTTAAATTCAGATTATTTATTTTACAATAAAAACAAAAAAGGTTAATAAGACTTAACAATCATCTTCTATTGGAATATGTATTTACATATATGATTTTGGAGGAAGAAATTTTAATATTAAATATAATGATTTACCATAAATTAATTTTATTTGATTGAGGAAATATAACTATTTTATATATATAATTTTTAATAGTAAAATAAAAAATTAATTTCCAAAATCAAAAACTGACAAGAATTAATTCTAACATAAATAACAATTATACTAAATCACTAACTAAGTATCTTAATTTCTAGTATAGCGTTGAATAATTTAAGAAAAAAGATTAAGAAATACTAAAAAGCTTAACATCTGTAAACTTTTTATGCTAATAATGCTAAACTTTAATTAAAAAAGGCAATATTAGGTATTTATTACACTTTTATATATATTTAATAAAATAAAAAAGAACAAAGAACAGAATGAGTTTGAATTATATATATCTATTCAAATTACTTTTTTGAATAAAATGTAAATAATTTAAAAATGAATTTATAAATATAACTAAAAAGATAAAATACATTTAATATAAATGCAGTTATAATGAATAAATAATTTAATTTCAAAGAAAAATATTCTCTTCAACCCAAAAATTTTAATAATTTTAATTAATTTATGTATTTCTTAATGCTATTTGTTAAATAAAAAAATAATATAAATTAGTATTTTTCTCTTAAAATTAATCAATAAAATAATTAGAATAGTATTATATCAATATATTATATTCTTTTTTGATCAAATATATAGCATTTTAGCATTTTCTTCTTTCTTCTCCTTACAAAGATTTCAATATATTAAAATTATTGTTTATTTTATTTATTAAATCATCAATATATTTGATTCTATTTAAAACATTTTTAGTATCTTTAAGTATTTTATAAAATAAGGCTTCCAAAATTATAATATTAGTATGAATTATATATTTTTTTTACTAAGTTATATTATAAAAAGGTTATCTTAAGTTCTATTTATATTCAGGAAGAAAATTATTAATAAAATGTGACAATTATTTTTAATAAGCTAAGTTTTATTAAACAAACATACTTATAAATTTAATTTTAGAATTCATAAATTCATATATTTTTTACATTTTTACTCCAAAATTGAAATACTTTTCATGTTAAATTGGTGAATAATTTGCTGAACTTATTTTACTTTTAAAATATTCTTCTGCCCTTTAAATACTTAAGTACTTGTCTTATTTTGTAAAAAAAATTAATTTTTTTTCAAAATCATTTGAAGTATATTAAGATATAAATAATTAGAAAGCATCGCTTTTATAAAATATACTATTTAAACTTATTTCTATTAAAAACAATGTCAAAATTATTGTAAAAAGTTATACTTAATGTTAATCGTAATATTATATCTATTCATATAGACAAGGAACTAAATATCCTAAAATCTAACTTTTTAGTGCATCTCTCAGTATAAATATTTAATTTAGATCTCTTTGTATTTTATATGAATTAATTTAATCTTTTTCTTTTATTTCAAGATCATAAACTATATTTATTCCTTATTATTATACTAAAGGTATATAATAATTTTTTTAGAAAAAAACTTC